AGGAAAGCAAATGGAGGTAGAACACTGGGACCTACCACAAAGGGGCTCCAGGCTTGCTTTTCCCAAGACCCTCCACACTGCCTTGTGTTTCCAGCAGAGAGGACACCCTCCTGGGTGGCCTGCATTCACAATGACTTGCTGTAAGCATACAGTCACCTAATTTGTGGTTTGTTTCAGTCCTCTTTTTTTTTTTCAGTCCTCTTTTGTACTTCTGTTTTGTGCTTTGCCATATTATCTTTACTTTCCTTTTCAAAAAGCAAAATAATTCATGTAGTCAACTCATCTTTGGTGTGAGGTCTTAGAAGAAATTTCTTGTAGGTGCTGGGGAGATGGTTCTGCTGTTAGAATGCTTGCTGTGCACTGAGTTTGGCCCTTAGCACATATGTCACAGACTGGGCACATCACCCCAGCACTGGGGAGGCAGACACAGGCTGCTCTCTGGAGCTCTCTGGCCAGGCAGCCTGGCTGAATCAATGGACCCCAGGTCCCAACAAGAGAGGTCTCAGAAAATGCAGCAGGCATTTCTCAAGGAATAGTACCCTAGGTTGGCTTCTGGCCTCCACATTTTCCATTACACCTCTGTACACACTTATATATACACCACACACATGAGAACACACACACACACACACACACACACACACACACAAAATGTTTAAAAAAAAAAGAGAGATCCACAAAATTCAAGGCAGTAAGCCCCAGTGGACCTTTCCCCAAAGGTCCTAGATTCCTCTGCTGCAGCTGTTCCGTGTGATTGGTGCCTGTCTATTTTCGACCCCAGCCTCTCTACTTGGAATCCTATGCCCAAGCCCCATAGTTTTTGAGACCCTGTCCTTTCTCCCTGGCAGCCATCCAGCAAGAGGCTACCCAAATGTGCCCTGTGAAGAACAGGCTTGAAGTCATCTCTGCTGTTCAACCAAATATTAGCATTCTCAGGGCAGGTTATTTCTTCTTGGTGGGCACTGGAACTGTACTGCCTTAACTCACCCTTGCCCACCAATTCCCTCCCTACCTGAGCCCGCTTCTGACCTCCCAGAGAGGTCAGTGCTCTGCCTGTCCTGCCTAGCCTGGGATCTTGGCCCACAAGATGACCGACTATAATAGCCACAGGATTAACATAGCAGGCATTGTCTTTCTCTGACTATAGGGTGGGTATTATGTGTTCATCAACAGTCCTAAAAATACCCGATAAACAGGTGCAGCCCTGCAGTCCCAGCCTCCTGGGTCAGTTAGCCTCTGATTGGCATGAAGATTAAGCAGGGAAAAAGACTGTTAGTCTCCCTGGGTTCAAGAAATGGAAGGTGGGGTGCTCTTTGGAACCTGGACAATGGAGACTCCTTAAAGCCCACCCAAAGAAGTGTATAGAATGTCTTCAGATCCTCAGGCTTCCATGAACATAAAGATGGCCTTGCTGCCACTGTGACTCAGCTGGGCCCCAGAAACATGCCACCAAAACCCTGCAGACAGCCTCCTATCTCACTGGTGCCAGCGTCTCAAACAATTATGTCGTCGTCGTCGTGGGCTTTTTGAGGTTTTTGGAACATGGACTGGGGCTTCATGTCCACGTGTATTGGCAAGAGAGACAGTGACAGTCTGTTGGTTCCCTCCCTAGTCCTTAATGGTTCCTCAGGCTTCCCAACGCCCAGATCTCCTTCATCCCACTCCCTGTTCTCATCTCTGGGCGGCTCCACAGCTGGTCTTTTACTCTCTATCTTTCCCAGTCGAGTGATGGTTTCCCCCAGTCAGAGGCTCTGTGTGTGTGTGTGTGTGTGTGTGTGTGTGTGTGTGTGTGTGTGTGTGTGTGTGTGTGTGTGTGTGTTTAATTGTAAATACCCTAGAGGTGCACACACACTGGTCTCTAAGCCTGTGTGCCCTGTGGTATACACTGCAGCACGCATCTGCCCTGTGAGGTGTGTATGGTGGGAGGGGGTAGGAAGGAGGGGCAGCTGGAGGGGCAGTGGCTGTTCTATTTTTACTGGCCAGTTGCCGGAGGCCACAGTTTTCATAGCCTGCCCTCAGCTCTGCCCCCACAGTCTGCAGTTTGTGGTGAGGCTCAGGCCAGCCTAGCTCCACGAGGACTAAACTAGGTAAGTGTCTATGGCCCTGACCATGGACCTGGGTGAGCCTGGGTAGAGAACTGGGGTTTTGTTTAAAGGGGGAAATAAGGTTTGGGAGATGTTTCCTGTTTGGATAAGTAGGTTTGTCAGCAGAATGCTTTCTAATAGTCCCAGCCTTTTGTCCCATGACATGGCACCTCTCCTATAAGATGCTGTGAGAGGTGGAACCCAGAGGGACAGAACAGTCTAGCATGTTCCTCAGGAGTCCAAGGCAGAGCCCATTGGATTATGCTCTCACCAGGGACTGCAGCCTGTGGCATGAAGGACTGTGCTCTGGTGGGAGGGGTGGCTCTGGGGCCTCAGGTCTGCATTCAGGAGGTGTCTAGGGCGCAGTGACAGTGGTCAGTGCCTTCAGTGGCAGGACAAGAAGATGACTGGCATGAAGGACTCTCAGGAGACAGGTCTAGATGTCCTTTTGACCAAAGAGACCATTTTATTTCTTTGTCCTTTGTTTCTGACAGGTGCTTTTAGCTCTCTGCCTGTCTCATCTGCAGGTGAAGACAGACTGCCAATGCTCTCCATTGCTTCTGGCTCTGAGTTGTAGAAGGGATTGCTGGGTCCTCTCATGGGGGAGGCAGATGGCAACAGCATTTGGGATGAGGGCTCAAGAGCCTGTGAGCCCCTAAGCTAGGACGATATCCACTCTGTGATGTTGGGAGGAGCGGAGGAGCTAAGGGAAGCCCCTACCCTGAGTTTGAAGTCATAAAACAAAAGAAGTTCTAACACTGGACTTCCTGGTCACAAGCTTGGGAACCCAGCTTGTTAACACCCTGTTCAGGAGCATGGAGGTGCCCTTGAACTAAGATCCAAGGTCAGGGGTGGGGAGCAAGGGTAGAGCTTGAGTCTACTTAGATGCTTGTGTTCCTATCAGGTGTGTCAAGAGGCTAGTTCCTTTCTCTATGCTGTCCCTCACACAGGTTTGCACACTCACACACATTCAGGCTTGGTGTGGAAAGGCTGTCAGCTTTCACACCAAGGGCCTCAGGGCCAGGAAAGTGAGCATTGAGTTAGGGCCCGGAGCCTGCTCCCTTCCCTCTAGTTCTGGGTTTTCTGTTATCTCCTCATTTTCCACTTGTGGTACAGATGGAATTCGGCCCTCAGCCTCACTGCTATCTACATCCTGGCTTCTAATCAGGTCCCTGTTTGTCTTCCACAGGGCCTGTCAAGGGGGCCTGCCTGGTGGGTGTCAGAGCACAGGTCAGGGCCTCATGCTTGCTTGAGACCCCTGGATCTGGCATTTGTCTGTGAGGCAGTTGGGGACTGCCTGGCGCTTGGCAGGAGGCCCAGGCTGGTCCCTTCAGTGGGCCCCACATTGGCGACAGTGGGATCTTACGAGATAGAGGAAGGACAGACATGGCTAGATGCCCACCAGGGCAAAGCACTTCCTAGGGAGACAGATGTCAGACCTACTGGGCTGCACCTTGCATTCTCAGAGGCCAGACGGATGTGGGTGGGGTGCATCTTTGTCAGCCAGTGTTTCTTTTTGGACTTCCCCAGTATCTTCAGAAGAGCAGAGTCCTTGACCAGCAGCTGTGCATAGGATCTAATTTCAGCTAAGCATCTTGGGAATGCATAGATGGTTTCCACAACTCTTCCCCTGCGCCCCACGGGGACAGCTGAGACCCCGGGGTCACCTCCCACCTAGCCTCACTCTCCCCACGAGAGAGGCTTAGATGGAAAGCTCTGTAACAGGCTGGGATTCATGATAGGAGGGCCAACCCTGGTCACTGGTCCCAGGTTTTTTGTTTTTGTTTTTTTTTAGTGGGCGCAAGAAGGGTGGCTATGGAATGACATTATTGGTGGGTGCCTTGCAAGGCTCCTGTACTGCTCCAAACTAGGTTCATGAACCAAATCTAAGCAAGGACGCTGAACCCTATGCCTGCTGCCTCTCTCTATACACCACTCCTCCCACTCTCCACTGTCTCAGCCTCCTGACCCACCCTACATATCTGTCCCCAGCCTGGCTGCCCCTGCTTCCCTACAGTCATTTCCTCTACCCCCTGCCTACCTGCTCCAGGATGCTCTAAGTCAGGGCCCAGACAAGAGGGTGGATCAGGCCTGAAGCCTCTGCAGCCTTCAGAAGCCCATCTTGACCTGGGTCCAGAGACGGCCTGTCAGCGGCTTCAGACTGCTCCACAGCTGTGCTCGCTCAGGATGCCAGGCTCCTATGCCATTATGCCTTTAGTGACTGAACTTGCTTTACTTCCAAGTGAGATCTGGTTGGAATAAAACGTCCAAGGGTTAAATATTAAGAAGCACAACACTTATCTAGGCTCCAATTTTGCAGAAAGGAAAACTGGTCAAGAAAGAGTGAAGACACACTAGGAGTTTTTTGTTGTTGTTGTTGTTGTTTTTGTTTTTTTTTCCCCCCCGTCCTGCTGTAATCTCTACTCAGGGCTTCTGACCACCTACCCAGGGCTTCTAGGCACCTATTGGATGGCTCCTCTGGAGTTGGGCCAAACAGCACCCAGCTGCCAGCTCCGTGTCAACCTCTATTCTGCTCCTCCCGCACCTTCCCTGAGTCCTAATCCACACCTAATCCGGGTGACAGCTGAATTCAGCTTCGTGTTCAAGTCTCTCTCCATCAAGTCCTATTCTTACTTTCCAACCACATTGTCCATATTGCAAAACAGATTCCATCCTGTTTTGCACCAGAGTCAGCAGTGTTTTCCTGGAAACAGCCATAGGTAAATGTTTTAGGCTTTGCAGGCCACAGGAGGATTTTTTCCGTGTATTCTGTTTCGTCGCTGGTTAAGCAGAACAGATAGGTGTCCTGCTGGAATCTGTAATGTTGGCTTCTTCCTGTTATCTAACTCTCCACCTACAAGGGGTTTGCAGCTGAAGGTACAGCTTTTCCATTAACGATTCTTCTGTGCCCTCTAGGTGCTGCCTTGCTACCACCATGCCGGAAGTGTAAGTTGTTTCTTTCCCATACAGGGCTCCTCGGAGGCATGTCCCTTCACCACAGATTTCAGCCTGACAGTTTGGGACAGCCTGGCTCACCCCACCCCCAAGCTACTCCCAGCAGAAGCTCCTGAGTTAGGGATGGTTCTTAGTGCCTGGTCAGCACTCATTGCTTCCCTGAGGTGTCCAGGAGCTCTCTCAGCTGAGCAGAGCTCAGTTCCAGGTTGCCCTGGAGGATGTGTTTGGCCTGAGCTTCAGAGCTGGCTTGTCAGTACTGGTCAATAAACTGCACACACTAGACTACCATATCACATGGCCATGGCAGATGAATGAAGCTTTGAGAATGCAGGCCCAGGAATAGAAGTTTCGCATTAACTGTGGCCCTCTGTCAAAGCTTACACAGCCTCCCATTAGATCGCCTACAACCTTGAATGACCAACACCTCCCAAAAGGAAAGTCCAGTAGCCCAGAAGGTTGTTGGGTTTTTATTCTTATTTGCTGAACTCCTGAAGTGGTCCCCCTGCCCGATGGCTGATATCTTTCAGACATGTTGTTGCTACTCGTGCCCTCCTCTCCAAGCAAATCTGCTTGGTTCTGTTGCTGCTCATGTCATGTATTTTGTTTCCACTCACTCTGTGCTCTGCTTTTTCCTCCGGTCTGTCCTATGATGGATGCCTAAAGCGAGGTGAGTGATGCTGGGGTTTCTTAGTTCTGCAGACCAATGAGAATGGGGTGGGCTTGAAGAGCAATCAGAGATTGGGTCAAAGCCAAGGTGGGAGTGGGGATGCCAGTGGCTGAGAAAACTCCCAGGAGAAGAGAAACAGTGAGTGAAGATGCTGTATGATGCTGGGCTCCAGGGATGCAGGGGGTCGCTGCTCCAGGCCACAATGCTTCTCACAGACATTCCTGTGGCCGGCACCACAGATCGCAGCATGGCTTCATACCTTTGTGAATGGAAGTTCTCCCTCAGCCTCTCTCAAAGCTCCTGCATTCATCCCTGGGGCATCATTCTGTCTGTTGAAAAGTTGATGCTGCACAGAGCCTAACTGAAGGTGAAGGCTATGACTGAACGCTGTGGTCACCCTGCTTCTGGATACTCTGTGGTCCAGATTTCTTCGGGCTGCTGAGAATGCAGCCTGCATATCACTCAGGGGTGGGGACTGAAGGAAAAGATGATGTGCTGACTTAAGTGGAGAGGAAGTGTCACTGGTGGAGGGAACACTTGGCCTGGATAGTCTCAGCAGAAGCAAATACACTATTTTCCAGTGACCTATGAACTCTTGAGTTTTGCTGAGGCTCCTATTAGAGTAAGTCCTCAGAGACTGTTGGTTAGCTGAAGAGGCCAAGTGCTTACTGACTGGTGGGGAACCAAGGCTGCAAAAGGTCATTCCTCATGGTGTGTCTGGGTGGGTGAACCAGGAGCTGTAATGACTACAGCAACCGGCCATTTCTCTCCTTTCCTGGAGTGTAGGCTTTCAAAGACGAAAAGATCAGCCACTGTGAGCAGGTCAGAAGTTGTATGCTCACTGTGCTGAGGCTCATCCATTCCCTCTCCCAGACACTCCCACAAAGCTTCATCACTTCTGCCTGACATACTGCAGGGACCAAACACAGCTGTGCTCTCCCAAGGTGGTGCTCCATGGGAGCACCCAGGAGTGACACAGGGCTCCCCAGCTTCATAGTCCCATTAGTTAGCAGTGAGGTAGCTCTGTAACCTTCACCACACTGGGGACACTGCCACAGGGCTGGGACTTTAAACATTCTTTTAGACAGGTTCTTCCATGTAGCCCATGCTCTCCCATGATGGCCCACACCATGTGAGCCTCCTGCCTCAGCCCTGAGAGTGTTGAGATTACATATGTGATCCACCGTACCTGGCCTTGGCAGGGACTTACAAAGAGTTATTAGAACATATCTATCTAGTCATCAAGAATTTGCCTGTAGCCGCGTGGTGGTATAACACGGCTTTTATCCCAGCACTAGGGAGGCAGAGGCAGCTGGATCTCTGAATTTGAGGCCAGCCTGGTCTACAGATAAAGTTCCAGGGCAGTCAAGGCTGTTATACAGAGAAACCCTGTCTTTTAAAAACAAAACAAAACAAAACCCAAAAAATTAAAAACAACAAAAAGCCAAAACAAAAACAGACGGAAAAAAAATAATTTGCCTCCTCATTTTGATTAGAAGACACAGCAGTGTTTTCAAATCTTAGAGATTTCTGTGGGTGAAGGCGACTTGTAGAGCAGTTTGATGTTCACACAGACAGACTTCCCTTATTTGGGAAACATGTAGCATATGTCTCTGGCAGGAAAGAACATCAAAATATAGCTGCATTATCACCCGGAGTGTTAAAACATACGCCTGTTTTAGGCTTTTCGCAAAGGTTGCTTATCTGTGCCCTCATTTTATCTTGGTGGCGCTGTGAACTAAGTATAGCTGTCAACATGTTCCCTTGCAGATGAGGAGGCACCTTAGAAAGCATACTTGTAGAATCCAGCCTGCAGCAGACTGAGGACTGCAAGGCAGGGCTTCAAGGTAGCTGACCGCAGCACAGCGTTCCTTGAATTTGACTGGGTCAGTCCCAAAGATGAGCTTTAAACGCCCTAAATAAATGAGCAGAGGATTCTGGGTAATGATGAAGAACCACAGCTGGTACTGTGCTTGTCTGGACCAGAATCCCTGTTTTATAGCCTCTGTTTTATCATTGGTCTTTCCTTCTCATCCTCAGAGGAAATCCAAGATCACTGCCTCCCGCAAACTCATGCTGAAGGTAAGGCTGGTCCCATGGGAGATGGAGGGAAAGGGGTGCAGAGGGCAGGGAGGGAGAGGAGGGAGACCAAGGAAGGGTAAGGGAAGAAGCCTGGTCGTTGCCAGAGCTGACTGGTGCAGGGACTTTATCCTGCCCCTCCTGGGTGCCTGAGTGTGTGTGTGGGAAATAGCCTGGGGAGGGATTCCTTGTGGAGGGAGAGGAAGGGGCGTGGTTTATTTTGATACCTTTCTCTCTTTGGAGCTCTGTGGGGCAGACGGGATAGCAAGGAAGGAAGAGGGCGACTGGGGGTAAACAAGCTCTGGGGCTCAGGAATGCCATGTGAGCCGCTCTGTGTGACTTACACAAGGCCTGCTAGCAGCTACTGCACACACTGCCACACTGAGCGATGGCCCCAGACCCGGAGTCTGGAGGCTCTTTTCCCCTCACTCGGTGATGCTGGATAGGGAATGAGAAGAACCACCTTGGCTCAGTGGCTTTGTCCTTTCTAGAGCCTGATGCTAGCCAAGGCCAAGGAGTGCTGGGAGCAGGAACACGAGGAGCGAGAGGCTGAGAAGGTGCGCTATCTAGCGGAGCGCATCCCCACGCTGCAGACCCGCGGCCTGTCCCTCAGCGCCCTGCAGGTAAGCCTGGGGGGCTGGGAAGGGACCCTCTGTGGGTCTGAACTAACATAGCTCTGTAACTCACAAGCTCTGTAACTGCACTCGAGGTGACGATGTGATACTCCAGTTTACAGACTTGAGAGGGGAGTCCCAGAGGGGTGAATTGGACTTAGTTGGGCAGAGCCGGGGTCTGGCATCCCACCATCTGGTGCAATGGCATGACCTTGGAGATGAGCAGGATTTAGGAAGGCTCATATTCCTCCAAAGATCGGCCCCTCCTTTTAGAGATGAATCTTCACTGTTTGTAGTCGGTTAGGAATTGCTTTAACGCCAGTGACTGAAGAGAACAGAACAGATGCAAATATTTCCACATGTCTCCCGTGGCAGTGGCTATTTTAATTTTATTATTTTTGCTTAACGTATAGTTTTCAAATTTTCTACTATTAACTTATGTTACTTTTATGATAAGAAAGCTATGTTTTAAGAAATGGACTATAAGCCTTCTGTAGAGGCACATGTTTGCAATCTCAGTGCTCAGGAGGTAGAGGCTGGAGGATTGTGAATTAAAAACTTTTTTAATTAAAACATTTTATACAATCTGTTTTGATCATATTTCTCCTCCCCTATCTCTTTCGAGATTCTTCTTACCTCCTGGCCACTCAACTTTATGTTATTTCTCTCTCTAATAGAAGAAACAAAAATAAAATGAAAATCAAAAGAAAGAAAGAAAGAAAGAAAGAAAATCAGGGTTATGGTGGTGTTCACTTTTAATCCCACCACTCAGAGGCAAAGACAGGTAGCTCTCTGTGAGTTCGAGGTCAGCCTGATCTACAGAGTGAGCCAGGACAGAGCTACATAGTGAGACCCTGTCAGAGAGAGGGAGGGAGGGAGGGAGAGAGAGAGAGAGAGAGAGAGAGAGCGAGAGCGAGAGAGAGAGAGAGAGAGAGAGCGAGAGCGAGAGAGAGAGAGAGAGAGAGAGCGAGAGCGAGAGAGAGAGAGAGAGAGAGAGCGAGAGCGAGAGAGAGAGAGAGAGAGAGAGCGAGAGCGAGAGAGAGAGAGAGAGAGAGAGCGAGAGCGAGAGAGAGAGAGAGAGAGAGAGCGAGAGAGAGAGAGAGAGAGAGAGCAAGAGAGAGAGAGAGCAAGAGAGAGAGAGAGAGAGAATAAAACACACACACACACACAAAACAAACAAACAAACAAAAACATGGAGTCCATTTTGTGTTGGCCATCTACTCCCGGGCATGGGGCTTGGCATACCCAGTAACCCTCCAATGAGGGACTGATTTTCCCTCCCCACCTACTATCCATTACTGGCAGCTTCCTGGTTAGGGCGGGACTTTGTGTCTACTTCCTCTTCTCAGTGCTGGGATTTTGTCAGGCTTGAACACGTGTGGCTCTTGCATGTACTGTCACAGTCTCTGTGAATTCATACATGTGAAGATTGTGAGTTTGTGCCTAGGCACCCTCAACGACAGGGCTTTCAGGCCAGCCTGGGCTACATACTGCCACAAACTAAGAATAAATAAATAAAGCCCTAAGTTATCGTTTCCAACAAGCTAGAATAAGAAAGCACACACAGAGCAGAAAGGAGAGCAAAGGCTTACGTCCTGAGGTGTCACCCTGATGGAACTTCTAGCCGCTCCTGTTGCCATCACAGTTCTAAGTGTGGAGAAGAGAACAGGGAGGCTGGAGCTGGTGGCCCTTTCCCCTCTCCTCCACTCTCATGCCATCTATCTACTCCTCAGGACTTGTGCCGAGAGCTACATGCCAAGGTGGAGGTGGTGGATGAGGAGCGATATGATATTGAGGCCAAATGCCTGCACAACACGAGGGAGGTAAGGCCAGGGAGGGTGGGGAGGAGCCTGGGCCTGTGCTGGGTGGGCTGGGCGTCCTATGGCCCACCTCTTCCTAGGGGCTGGGGGGCAGCCTCTCAGCATGAAGCTTTAGTTTTCTGCCCTAGCACCATAAGAGGGAGATGGGCGGGAAGGATAGGCGCACATGAAAAGAACAAACTTCCTCCCCACCTGTCAAGAGAGACCTTCGGAAATGGCTGTCCTGGCTCACCCACACGAGTAATCAGATGTCTGTTAACATTTTACTTCTGTGAAGGGCTGTCATGTCTGCTGCACCCTTTGATCTTCCCTACACACCTGTGGGTGACATGGGGGCTGTTACCCGACCCTGACAAATGAGGACACAGAAACTTACAAAGGCTCAAGTCACACAATGGGGGCCTAGTATACACTTGCTCTCTGCTAATCACTCCCACACTCAGCCCTCCTTAAGCATGGGGTGCGAGAGGCGTGGGGCCGGCCAGTAGAGAGGTATGGCGGAGGCGGGACTTCCGGTGCAGATGGGCTGCTTCTGAGCATTGGCCCAAGGTGAGCAGGCACTTCCCTACCCACTTCCGCTGGCCCCGAGATTGATGTGTGATGTCATTAAGCTCCAGAGAACTCCCTTATAGACCACACCCTATTCCCAGGGTGTAGGATTTAGGGCTTTTCTACCTGCTGGGTTAATCTAGGCTCTGCTGCTCTGCACACCGCCTGGGCAAGGCCTGAGCAGCAAGAGCAGGTATGGAGGAACAGAAAAAAGCAGTTCACTTGCCACACAAGGCTTTCCAATGTGAATGATGGCTTAGTGGCTTTTCATTTATTTGAGGCTTGGTAAAGGGAAGGGGGTGAAGTTAACTACTGGGCTTACTCTGTAAAAGTTCCTGGTGACTCTTTGGAGAAGGATGGGTGGTTCTGGCACCTCAGAAAGTATAGCCTGCAGCCTGGGGGACTTGGGAGGCAGCTCTAGCTGGAGGCCTAGCAGTTAGATCCCCGGGAAGAGAGGGCTGGGTCTAGCGTCCCCCGATAGAGCTTGGCTCCTTCCCTCCAACAGATTAAGGACCTGAAGCTGAAGGTGTTGGACCTCCGTGGGAAGTTCAAGCGTCCACCCCTGCGCCGGGTCCGTGTCTCAGCTGACGCCATGCTCCGAGCCCTACTGGGCTCCAAGCACAAGGTATCCATGGACCTACGAGCCAACCTCAAGTCTGTGAAGAAAGAAGACACAGAGAAGGTGAGGGCCACTCTCCTCAGACTTCCTCCTCCTGCCTAATAACCTTTACCTGTCGATTCTCACACAGCCCAAGGCACTCTAGTTATTCTATGATCCAGAATAGTCTAGAACCCCCTTTGAGGTCAGTGTCACAAGAGGGAAGACAGGCTGCTTCCAATCTGAGGCGAAGATAGCACAAGACAGGCTGACTGAGGAATAAAGTGAGAACCTTGCTCCCAGTGTCAATTAAGGAGCAACTATTGCCCCTGTCACCATGGCTTCTCATTGTGGCTGTAGGAACTTGAGTATATAGAAATTGGAGAACTGAGTTCAATTACTTGCCTAGCAAACAACAACTTCAAGTTTGTTGGCCTCACAGTAAATGCTCAGAGCTGACACACTGCGAGAGGCAAGTGTGAGAGAGAAATCTCTGATCCAGGAAACCTAATAAAGATAAACAAGCTCGGTAATATGCTGACAAATGGAAACCAGCCAGACGAATCAGGAGAGGCTTCTTGGAGGAGGTGACTGAGCGGTAGTGTGTCACACAGGAGGGTATAATGGGGCTTGGAGGTGAGGCTGTCTTGGGATACACTGGAAACCAGCCCTGTGACCCCATCACAGTCACCTAGGACCTCCCAGCCATACAGCCTCATACTCTCTGTGGAACCTCGGCTTAACCTGTGCCCTGTATGGCTAAGGCATCGTCTATCACATGCTGGGCAGAAAACATGGGGATTTCCTATCTCTCTGAGGAGGTAGATTTTCTCCCATGTGATGTCTCGAGCTCAGGGGCATTTGTTGCTCCCCACCCCTCCAGCCTGGTGAGTTTCTGACATGGTTGTGGATTACCTACAGGAGCGGCCCGTGGAGGTGGGAGATTGGAGGAAGAATGTGGAGGCCATGTCTGGCATGGAAGGCCGCAAGAAGATGTTCGATGCTGCCAAGTCCCCAACCTCACAGTAGAGGTGCTTAGGGGAGGCTCATCCTGGGGTCCCTCAGAGTCCCCAGGATGCTTGTCTTGGGGCCCCCTGAGTCCATGGGGTGCTTGTCTTGGTGCCCCTCAGAGTCCCCGGTATGGCACTCAGGATACGTAAGAGATGTAAAGCTGATGTAATACGCAGGAGAATTCTTAGGAGTCAACCCTCTTGAGCGCAGGCCTACTCTAGTACCTTCAGATACTAGGCCTGGCATGTCTGTGTCAGGTCCCCTCATCTATAAAACTGCGGCTTGTACCAGATTGGTAGTCCTGAGCCTGGTTGCAAATGATTGAACTGGAAACTGTGGGGCTGGGGGAACCTAGGAGGTCCTGAGGCAGGCCCGAGTCTGAGAGTCCAAGGTTAGACAATCCCCAAGGTCCTCCAGCTCTAACTCTCCAAGAATCTCACGTCTTTCACAAGCTACTTGGTGACATTCTTTATTTGTATACCCCCAACAAAGCACCCTAGTCACTGGTCCCAGGGGGGACTACCAGTTCAGAGACACTAAGTCTACTCCCCCAGAAAAACAGCCAGAGGAACCGACAAAGAGGAGGATTTGAGCCATAACAGCCCTGCTGCGGGAGCGTGGAAAGGAGGGGCACAGGCAGGTCTGCAGTTGGCACACAGCAGACAAGGCTCTCTCCCCAGAGCAGATCTCAACTAGTGATGGGAGAGGGTTCACGAATGAAGGGGAAGGGCTGAGGGTGCAAAGGTCAGCTGTGGGAGGAAACCAGTCATGGAAAATGACAAGGACAAGGAGGACAGGCTCAAGTCAAGGAGCTCAGGTTCTGGGCAGAGCAGCTGATGGGTCTCATGGGTGGTGCAAGGGAGAAGCCCCAGAGACCGTGGGGACTGTGTGTGCTGTGTGTCAGTCAGTGACACCTAAACAGCACGCATCACTGGTATCTATTTGATAGCATCTCCTCTCTGTCCTTACAGATTGGCTTGCTGTATGGCACTCCGGGGTCATACTCCAGCCCCACTCACCCATCTTTCTGCCAGCGCCTGGAACATCCCTGCTATGCCCTTCCTCCCTCCAGCCTGTATGGCCAACTTTGGCGTCAGGATGAAATGGCACAGAAAGGAGAAGAGAGATGCGAGTGTCTGAGACTTCATCCCAGCAGCACACACGAGGTGTGCTGGGGTACCACACCGAGGGGCCATAGGCTGAGGAGGGAGGCAGAGAGAGCACCTGCCCTACAGCCCCCCATATTGCTACCCTCTGTTTCGGTTGCTACCTGCAGTGTCCACAGGCATCACAACTCTCCAGTAAAACTCTATGTTCCTGATGGTTTCTGAAGCTCTGTGGTTAGTGTTCAGAAAGTGAAGATGAGGAGTGTGTGGAAAGGGATTTGAAAAACTTCAGCCTTGAGTCAGGAGCTCAGGATCATAATGGAAGGCTAAGGATTTGGTGGCCACCTGCTAATGTGCCCCAAGGAATCTTTCTTCCAAGTCACATTGACATCACACACTCTCACCATCCAGGGATCTCAGCTAACACCTGGATCTCTAACAACAGGTGTGCCCTTCTCTAGCTGTCAGAGGGGCATCCCATTTGGTAGTGTACCCTGCCTAATTTTCCTAACCTCCATAAACATGGACTGTCTGTTCACATGTACCTAACTGTTGTGGGCCAAGAGGTCAAGGTCAAGGTGCTTTCAACGGCCTTGATGGTTTGCAGATTTCTTTGCACTCAGGCCTCTCAGGAGGGAGACAAACTGTAATTCCATATCTGGCCACCAGGAGGCTCCATCCATCATCTCTGTGTCTGGCTGCTCAAGTCTTAAGTCTTTGCTCTCTGCTCCAAATTACTCCCTCCCTTACTGAAGGCAGAAGGAATTCCCAACTTCTCTGCATGGACCCTCTGTCTGTTCCCAGAGGGCAAGAGTCTGTCAGGGACCCTATCTCTTCTCACATTCCCAGTCAAACATCCCCAAGACTCATTCTTTCTCCAAGGTGGTCCTGCCAGTGGTCTGACCTTTGGATCAGTTCCTTTTTCTATCTCACTAATGTCTGGACCCAAAACCTTAGAGGGGCTTAAAACAGGGGGAGATGAGTAGGTGTAATGAGGGAGTTGGGACAGCCCTGGGTCCCCACCCCACCCCCACCTCCACTTAAAGGAGCAAAGAGCAAAATTCTGGGACAGAGTGGAACTTGGCTTTAGGGTGGTGCCAATGGCAGTTCCTGAGCTAAGACTACAGGGAAGTGACTGGTCCCCAGGACTAGTCCCCGCAGAGGCTGAGCTGTCTGGACAGTTCCTTTCACCTGCCCCTGGAGATACCCGGCTCTACCCTCTGATCTCCATGAATTATCTGTCATGAATGCCAATGGCCGGTGCAAAGTGCAGTGTTGTTACCTCCTGGGGCACAGTCTGGGGCAGGCATGCTCAGCCTGCCTGTGGCGGTAGAGACCAGCAACTTGGGGTGTGTTAGGGAAGGCAGCATCTAGAATGAGGTTTTGCTATAAACACATCAGTAGGCAGAGTCAGGGGTGTGCAAAGAGCACACTTTCCATGCACTCATGCCTGTAGTCATGGATACACCCAGTCACACATACAAACAAAGAGAGAGAGAGAGAGAGAGAGAGAGAGAGAGAGAGAGAGAACACGCTGGGGAACCTGGCAGGGCTGGTTCATGCCACAGAGCATAGGGTGAGGCTTCGTGCCTGAGCAGCCAAGAAACCCACCCTTCCTTGCCTCCCGGCTCCTCCCGGCTGGCCCGGCTCCAGAGAATGTCTCAATGTTTTGTCTCTTTCCAGCCCTTTGATAGAACCTGGCCTTAAGTTCCTGAGGCAAATTTCAGTCTGCCAGTAGACTATTAACCTAGGGCTTTGACAGATTGGGGTCTCCACCCTGCCCTATAGAGGTGGGAGACTCAAAGCAAACAGGGTATACAGAGAGAGGGCTGCTGGGAGGTGGGGGGTGGGGCTCCCAACACAACCAAGCCTATGGTCCCCTGGGAAAGGGCAGAGGACCCACGCAGAGAACTCCAGAAGGTCACCAGCCCCATTATTCGGCTTCCGGTGCCCTGAGCTGTCTCCTTGAGGATGGACTAGAGCTCAGATAGATACCCACACTTATCTGGGGAAGACTGAACCCCTCCACAGCAAGGAGAAGATGGGCTTCAGCAATGGGGGAACTCATCGAAGGGTCTTTTGTTGTACCCTAGGGTGGGAAGCGTGATATCTCTAGAGTCCTGATTCTGCATGGAGGTCCACAGTCCACATGACTGGAGTGAGCCTTGGGGCCTCTCGCTGATTGGCAGCTCCCACACATAGCATGTGACCATGTGCCAGGCACCGCTTTAGATACCGTAGTCATTTAACCTTCACATCAATCAACCCTGTGAGACAGCAGCACTGTCTCCATCCCCATGCTGTGGGGAGACATTGAGGTGCAGGTAGTCTAATGACTTCCCAGAGTCACAAAGCAAAGAGGGAGGTGGAACTTAACTGCGGCAGAGAGCCAGCATCCAGACTCTCATCCACTAGTTCCATGGCACTATTTGCAGTAATAACAATGACAAATGTATCATGCCAATTTGTCACACGTTCTCAGAAAAGCTTGGAGGCAGATCTCTAGGAACAGAGCCCTGGAGGGTTTAGGACACTAGGATATAAGGGCTGGAGATTGACAGCTGTGGCTTCATGGGGGACTCTAGTTCCACTTGCCATGGAGGTTACTCTTTTCTAGGACCCATCTTGCTTCAACGGAGTCCAACTAGCTACTGTTCAGTAAGGACTCCATTGGAGTCCTACCTGTCTACCAGGGAGTTCCCATATCCTTACCAAAAGGGGAAGCCGTTATATGAGAGGCAAGACAGACCCGCACGGGCAAAGGGGAGGTCTTCTTCAAATAGTTGGACCTAGGCTGAGAGTGGAGGCCCAGGACCTTCTTGGGGAATATCTGGTGTGAACAAACCCATAACAGCTGTGTGGGCATGCCTCTCTCTGCAGCTGGGGATGGCAGGATGTTCCTCTCTCCTGGTTAGGAACAACCAGGGCAGGATGTCACCTGCTACCACCATGCCTGTATTAGAGTTCTCTGGAGGCCAGCTAGTGTCTTCCCTTTCTCTCACAAGGTGCCCCGTTCCCTCTGGTCCCAGGGCCCCAAGCCCAGCAGTGTATCTGAATCTCACTCTCAGTGACTGGTGCACTTAGGGCAAGCCTGTGCTTCTGGGGCTAAAGTGTCATTCTGAAGGAGGGGCCAGGTTAAACTTTAGCCACAATGGCCCCCCGTGAAGTGAGTCACACCCCCCACAGGGTTCTTGGGCTGGGCAGCTGTAGGGGCAGTTTTGTTCCAGGTGGGTGACCAAGCTGCTAAAGTCTGGGACAGGTCTCTGGGACCTGTGTAGATGGCAGCTTCCTCTCCTGACCCCCTCAGGGGTCTCTTTTCTCAAAATGTTTGCCAGCCTGTGGGGCCTACATGCAGGGAGGGGAGGGGGTTCTTTATTCCCAGGATATATGCCCAAGCTGGCTGTGGTCCCAGGCCCCAAGATCAAGGCAGAACAGGATGAACTTGGTAATCCCTGTGGCATTGGCACCGAGTGTGGCAGTCAATGTGTGGAAGCTTTCAGAAGCAAAGTGTCTTGCTCAAGGTTGTGTGGGACTCGGACACAGGTCACCTGACCCCAGTCTGCTTGGAAAACTGATTTGAAGGAAAGCATTGGTTTTTCTAGCCAAAAGCTGAGACTGGGGCTCTGAGGAACCTGCCTATCTCAAGACCCCACCTGACTCCAGTGCCAGCAAGTGGCTTTCTTCACTGGTGGGGCCAGTACAGGCTGGGCAAGCCTAGTCCTTTGCCTCCCCTGGGTGACAGGCAAGTGTTTCAACTTGGAGCCCCTGGGGGGGGGAGTGTGTGAATGCCATGGCTGCTTAGAGAAAGGGTGATCCGGGGTATGGGGAGCCAGATGCCACTGGTTAGTGAGGTACACACACTGTGTTCTGGTGACAATGGTCCCCTGAGAATGCCTCTCCAAATGGCAGTTTGTGATCCTAGCTTGTCTACTGTGCTCTGCTGAGGAGCCAATACCACAGATGCATGGTAATCCCAGAGCTGATGCAGAAAAATGGAAATGGCTGGCCTTTCTCCCAAAGCATGCAAACCTCTCAGTTGCTATTTTAGTATTAAAATAGCCTTTGCGTGCTAATTGCTTTCTAATGTCTTTTAAGACAAGGTCTCCTTGTAGTGTGGGCTGGCCTTGAACTCAGATCCTCCTGAGGAACAAACCACTCTGACTTCTAAGGTTCTTAAGTGACAAATTAAGACAGTAACAACACCACTTCAGTAACAAAAACCAGGGACCACTGGTCTAGGGTCCTCAGGATGTGGGTGCTGTTGCTCTATTTTTTTCCTTTCTCCAACAGTGCCAAAGGCACAGCGGCTACTCAGTGGTGAGAGAAACTGAAGTGAAATGTCAGGGTGTAAAGGCCAGCTGGTCAGGGCTGGGGATCCCCCAGATTTCCATTCTAGCCTTCCTGGAAAAGATTCCCTATGAGTCTTGTGTTTGGGGGGATTCCAGAGTCTGTTGTAGGGTGCCTCAGAACCTCAAGGGAGGGAAGAAGAGGGGTGACCTCCTCCTTATCTTTGGCTGAGAAATGACAGAAAACCCCTGTCCTTGGTCAGGGGCTTCCCAGCCACAGCGGGCTTTGCCTTGATGGATTTTCCTTGAAGGAAGTGACCATCACATGCTGACACTTTAAACATATGTGTAAATAAAGAATTATAAAGTGAGCACCCTTGTATGGACCGTTTGCTTATTTTTGTGGTGCTATGGCTTGAACTCTGGGACATGCAGGCAGAATCTTGGTCACCAAACTACACCCCAGATTCCAACCACTCAGTTTCAGATCCAGGATATTGTGAAATACCTTTGAAACCCTTGGGCCCCTCCCTCACCACAATGCCTTTCTCTCCATAAAGGTTAATAAACAGGATCTTCAGTTTTGTGTTTACAGGAGTCTCCCTTCTCCAAGAGTTTGCTTTCTACAATTTCAGTTACCCGTGGCCAACTCTGACCCAAAAATACTAAATGGAAAAAAAAATCGCAGAAACAAGTAATTCATCCATTTAAAATCCCATGTGATTCTGAGTAGTGTAATGAACTCTTATTCTATCCTGCCCAGGACCTAAATCATCCCTTGTCTTGTGTATCCTGGTGTAGCTTCTATCTACTAACCATGTGGCCATCTCTGTTCCCAGATAAGCTGTGTGGTACCACAGTTCTTGTCTTTAAGTCATCCCTATTTCCTTAATGGCTCTAAAGCACAAAGGTCCTATAGTTGACACAGTTATCACAGTGTGTGATTAAATTGTTTCCCCACCCCATCCCCCCTTTTTTCCCCTGTATCTCAGGCTAGCTTGGAACTCACTGTGTAGCTTAGGCTAGCCTTTAACCCTTGGCAATCTTTCTACCTCAGCCTCACAAGAGCTGGGATTATATTCAGGAGCACCCCCACCCTCACACACTTGCTCTAGATGATTTGGTGTTTTGTTTGCTTATTTTCTGTGTAGGTAACTGTATCTAGGGCTTTACAAATGCTAAACATAGGTTTTCCAGCTGACCACCAGTGCCAGCCCTTTATTCTTAGCCATTCTTTGTAATCTCTTAATGTGTCTATATTATCAATTAAGCTTTCTCTTAAGTGTGTATAGGAGAAACATCACATACAGGGTTGGTACTATCTGTGATTTCAGGCATTTCCTGGAAGTCCTAGACGGATCCTCTAAGGATAAGGGACTGCTACACATTTCTCTGGTTCTTTGTACATTTCTATGTTTTGTGAACCCCTGGTCTGCGCATTGCTAAGGGTCGAACTGTCCTGCAAGCTTTATATAAATGCATGCATTGTGCCCTTTCTCTTTCAACACTGGGTCAAAAATTCACCCCTCTGCAGTTTGTTCATTTTCACTGCCAAGAAATGATGAAGATGCCATCCTTGATTCATTCCCTTCTGCTTCTTTGAATATTCATGGGCCTCTCCTCTGGTGTTCATGCCCAAGAGTTTTTCTATCCAGGAATGCAATTGCTGGAGAACAGGAACATAGTTACCTTTGGCAGCTGTACCATTTACACTCCATTTGCAACTCAGAGAGCTGTTGAGGCATCACACCCTGGCTTTACCTGATCCCAGGGGTCCTGGATGCTTAGAACCCCTTGATCTCAGCTTCCTGGTGACTCCAAATGTCACTTTCAATGGTACAGACTTTCTTCTCAAATAAAGTTAGTGTAATTCTCCCAAACTGCTATTGAGCACCCGGTGTGCTCAGCACAGTGTTCAGGGAACACTGAGGGGAGATTCGTTTTCAAGATGTTTGGGAAGTCAGGTCAGGGGCACAGATACCAACACCAACTCTATGCTGCTGAAAACGCATCCCTTCCTCTTTCCTCCTCAACCCCTGCCCTCGGGCTATGGACACACAATGCCAAGCCATCAGCTGAGCTCCCACACCGACATCTGGACATCTGATGACCTTCGGGACAGCTCCTTCTAACACCTTTAATTCAAATGGGTATTGGGTGCCACTGACCCTCTGACAAAGCGGAGGTAACTCCTCAAACCGAGCATTAATTATCAGGTTAAAAGGTCAAGAAACCCTCTGTGGTCTACAGTCAACTTCCTCCCTCAGTCCTCTGGAATCCCTGGCCCTCTGAATCCCTGACTCAACTCAGTCTCTCTCACACCAGGCAGAGAGGAGCCACCAGCCATGGCAACCCACAGCTCAGCTTTCCGATGCTAACCCCACCTCCTGCATAAAGCTACCTTTGATTACCCCCGCCCCACCCCCTCCGGTCCCTAGCCCATTGTGGTGGCTCATGACTTAATTCTAGCATCCCCAGCCTTCAGGATGCAGAGGCAGGTGGACCTCTGGAGGCTGCCAGTTCTGACTTCTCAACCTGCAGGGCCTGCAGAAGGAGCCGTTGATTCCATTTCGGATCTTTCAGGCAAGATAAAATCCCCCATCCAGGCACCTGACCTTGGCTTGCTCAGTTCCGCGTGGAAAGCAAATGGTGCTGCACCCACCCAAATAGTTGTTAACCGGTGGTATCCGAGTTGCATTAGGTTGGTGCAATATTAGTTACAGTTGTCTATGGCCCTCTTTCTTCCCAGGAGAGCCAAACTGCTTCCGTGGCACAGTTAAACGCTGCCCCTCAGCCCACGGTGGGGTGGGGTATCAGAGAGCAAGGGCCGTGCCTTTGGTGCATATGGTATTTATTTATTTATTTATTTATTTATTTATAGCTGTTGTGCACTACCGGTCTGCCTTTGGTGCATATGATATTTATTTACTTATTGCTGTTGTGCACTCCCTGTTGGTGTGTTTGAGCCTCATCTCCTTTTGAGGGAGATTGACTTTCGAGGGGATGTTTCTGAGATGAGCAGTGTCTGCTCATCTCAGCAGAGTCTTCGAGATAGTTCCGACTTCTGGGGTGTTCTCTAGGAGCCCCCACTTCCCCACAGCTGCCGGCACTCTACACCTAAGATTACGGCACCTGCTCTAACTTTTCTGCTCAGCTTCCAGCTCTTGGGTTTCTGCGGACTAAGTCGATTTCCAGGCAGCGAGCTCAGCCTG